ACACAAGGACAGACGAGACGACACCAGAAGCATACTGCCCTGGCGCGGAACCCCCAGCTGTCACAGCACCAGGCGGGCAGCTGCAAACCTTATCAACCGCCGTTCACACTTCGTCGTGCGCGACGCCTGACTCACGTTCGCATCGGTCCCTTCGGCGACAGCGCGACAGTCCGGCCAGCAAACCAAGGCCGACGACGAGGAGAGGCCGCGACGACTCCGGCAGGCTCCAGCAGGCGGGCACTGTGCCGATTCAGCTTGGGCATCAGCTGCGCCAGAGGTGGTGTCTTCGACACAAGGTGAATGCGGCCGCAAAGGGTGTTGTATTTAAGCTTTGGACGAAAGACTTTGGTCCTGCGGCCAGCCCGACAGGTACACTATTGTACCATCTAACCCATTAGCCGGCCGCCGCGAACGATCGCCTGCGCTGTGTGTCGAGACAAACTCTGGGCCAGTCAGAGGTTGAAAGGCATCCCGAGAGTCTGGGCTGCCTTTTCCCTCCCGCACGCCCACGTCCTTCTACCTTTTTGGATTTGATTGATTCATTCAATCCATTCCATCCTCTTCCTCCTCTTCCGTCCTCCTCTACTACTTCAACCCTCTTTGCCCCGGGTTCTGTGGTCCTCGGAGCCAGAAGCGACACCACTGCGACCAAAATTCTGCCCATACGCCGTTCCCGGAAAGGGCTTCATCCGCAACCCATCTACTTTGCAGCAGCCACAACGCTCGCCGCCTGCACGCCTCCATACGCAAGCCCGGCCGCCAAAAACCCAGCCGCGAACGGCTTGGTCGATTTTCTCCCATCCTTCCCCTTTTCTTCTTAGACTTCACGGTCCACGGGATATTTTTTTTTTATTCCCCTTCGGCGTCGCGACCACCTTTCCGCGACACCAACGCCAACTTCCTTCACCGTCATCTCGGACGGTTCCTACCTGCCGCTGGCGTCAGCATCCTTGGAAACCTCCTGCTCAGCTCGTCTGGAGCGCGAGACCCGTGCAGCACGAAAGTGACAGAAGGCACAGTCAGGGCAAGGGTGCACCGCGAACTGGGGCACGCCGCTGTTATCAACCACTCAGCAACGCCTCAGATCCCAGAGGTGACAAGGACCGACTGAGCGACCCCTTCCACCTCTCTGTCTGCTCTTGTCTCCCCTCCACTCCCCCGGCCGGCTCCTCGACCAAAACAGCAGCCATCCCCCAGCCAGTGCTACACAGCATCGAGCTAGCCCTTCTCCTCTCCAGGCGCCGAACTTGCTCCTGCCTCTCGAAAGGCCCAGTCTCGTCAACGCGACGACTCGGAGCGCAGGCCGTCACCGGTTCCTTCTTGTTCCCGTCTACTTCGTAGACGAGCAACCGGGCACAAAGCACGCTCTTCGTCCGGCTAGCGACGCCCCCCCTTTCTCTGCAGCGGGAAAAGTAGCCTCTCGATCTGCTCCGTATCAACCCGGACGTTATGGACATGACGAGCTTTTCATCGCGTCGCCCCGCCGCGGGTGCGCTGCCCACGTTCTCTCTGCCACCGCCGACGCAGACGTCAGATGTTCCCCGTATGGCCCGCCTCTTCTCTGACCGTGACCCCTTTCGCCCCCAGTCCCCGTTTGGTTTCACGTCTGGCGGCTCTCTGACATCATCTTCTCCAGGAGCCAGCGACGGCCTGAGCCCGGGTCTGTCGAGCGTCAATACTGGCAGCTCGCAAGGTTCCCACGCTCACTCGAGCAACCTCCAGTACACGTATGGTCACTCCCAGGGCAGCTGGCCCACGCCGGGCAACTCGTCATACAGCGTAAGCTCCGCCTCGCAGCAGCAGCAAGGCCAGCAGCCACTCAGCCAGTCCCCGTATGGCGGGCGCGCCTCGCTGTACGGGCAGCCGCAAGGCCTGAGCTACGGCGCCCAACGCAGCTCCCAGTCTCCCGCGACGGGCGGAGAGGAGCTCCCCGCGCCGCCCTACGACGGCGTGCACCAGACGTTTAGCACGCCAATACCTGGTGGAGGTGGTGGCGGCGGTGGTGGGCAGGAGAGCCACCACAATCTCTCACCGGGCCAGGGCGGGCCTCAGAGCAACGCCATGATGGCGGCGCACAGTTCGACGCAGCCTCCCGCCGCATCTGGCGCCCCGGCCGCCGTCGACCCCTATTCGTACTCGCGCCCGCCGAGCACGTCGAGCTACTACGCCGCCTCGTCGACGCCCCAACAGTCGAGCTTTCCCTCGTACGCGCCGCACGGCACCTCGCCGACGAGCTCGGTCGGCTCGCGCATGGGCTCCATCTCCGGCCCGCATCACAGCATGGCGCCGCCCCCGGCGTCGTATGGCAGGACGCCCTACGGCTATCAGCACATGCCCCCGTCCATGAACGGCCCCGTCATGTCCAACATTCACCAGCCCGGCGGCCAGATGTCGGTGATTCCAGCCATGGGGATGCCGGCGGGCTACGGAGCGCATCCCATGATGTACGGCCACCACAGCCAGCCGCAGGCCCAGTCCGAGCGGCCGTTCAAGTGCGACCAGTGCACGCAGTCTTTCAGCCGGAACCACGACCTGAAGCGGCACAAGAGGATTCACTTGGCGGTGAAGCCGTTCCCCTGCAACTACTGCAGCAAGAGCTTCTCCCGCAAGGACGCCCTCAAGGTTTGTTCTAGCCACCTGTCCGTTGCTCACTTTGGGTTCACCATCTAACCGTTCTGGGGCAACAGAGGCATCGACTGGTCAAGGGCTGCGAGACCAAATCCAACGAAAACGCGAGCGGCGACAGAATGGACGCGGACCGAAGCGTAGACGACGACGATCGATCTCCGGTGGGAAAGGAGGTGTGAAGCTCCTAGGGAGGTACGCGGCGAGAGAGACAGAGGCATGTGTACGGGACCGACAGGACCGCACAATTGGAAGCGTGGCGGGCCGCCTGCATATGGCAATGATCATGGATGACGTTTGGGACAGCTCCGGCGAACTGGGACTCGGGGGATTGGTTTATCAGGAGATTGGCGTACCAGGTGAACGGCGTGAATTTCCCTCCCTCCCTTCCCATCTCTTTGTGTTTAGGGGAGGGGGGTGTTTAGGAGCGTCTTGTTTGTTCTACGTGTGATGGTTGACGAGGCATTCCGGGGTCTGGCGAGACCAAGTGGCAAGGAGCATCGGCTACGGTTGGGGCTGGACGGGTTTCGATACCACCGAGAGAAACGCAGCCGGGGGGTAGCACGCAGCCGCGACGGGGGAACGTCAGGGTCAGTCGACGCATGTGATTTGCTTTTTGGTTTGATGCGCAGGGCTCCGGGTCGGACGAGAGGTGGCGCTCGGTTGGCGCCACGGCCCGACGGCGAAGCACGCTGTATTCTGTGTAGAAGCTACGATGTACTAGTTTTGGCCCGGGGAGGGGGCGAATGCAGCGGCAGGTCCTGGACATGGCTTTGGCGTCGTTGCAGGCCGCGCGAAAAGCAGTGAAGTGAACGGCGAGCGTGAGCGTAGCGTAGCTACGGCAAAGCAAGTGCACGGCACTGTGCGCTGCACCGGGTAGAAGTGCATGCAGGGTACAAGGTAATCGGATTGAAATTGCAGCACGGTAGAGGTACGCAGCCAAGAATGCGACGACGTCGACAGACACCTGGGCACGCGACGGATGCGGTCGATGACGGCCAGAAGCTGCCAGTGCGTCTAATAAAGGTCGACGTCTCATCATCGGCGGCGGGTTCTGGAAGTGAGACGGACGGGCACGGCGTCGGCGACGGCAAGCGAACCGGACGGATCGTCAGTTCGGCTAGCCTCGACTACGCATCTCGGGCGGGTCAGCCATTGCCTTTCATGTTGTTGTTCAGGATCGGGCAGGCGATGCAGAGGGCGCGGAGGTGCCAGCAGCGCGGCGGCCAAGGTGCACGATCGTGGCGCTTGGTTTGGACGTGGCTGCTGCAACGCGTGGGGAAGGACGGGGGTGGGCGCTAATGGTGAGCTTGATTTTGGGGTCCCGCACGGCCCCTTCAGTCGGCGTGCGCTGCGACTCTATCTTGTGAGTGTGTCGATCCGACAGCTCGAGATGCCGTCCGATCCACGAAAATCCATGTGGGTTCAGGCCGGTCGCGGCGGTGCGAAGTAATCGCGGTAGACTGCAGATAGGTATTACCTGGCCTGCAATTAGTAGTGTCGGGTCTTCTCGTAGATGGAGGGAGGTCGTGGGCGGGGAGGACAGATTCCTACAGTCGCGAACCTTGACGCTTACGAAGTATTAGGCAAGATGCACGTATAACCGTGCAAAGGTGGATTGACGGTTGGGATTGTGGACTGTGCTCGTTGCGTGCGGCGCTGTGCGGCGCCGTGCTGTGATGTGCATTGCTTGTCCGCGCTGACAGGTCGTTCGCCCGAGCTTCCTCTCCCGCGGCCGCCTCCATAGGCAGGACTTTGCTGATGCATGCGGTCGCAAGCTCGGGGGAGCTCTGGTGCCAGTCGGAGAGGGTCCAGTTTCCGTCTGGCTGGTTGGCTGGCGGGGTGGCTTTTGTTGGGGTTACATTGAAGATTCGG